ATTCATTTACTGAGCAATTCCTTCCATTTCCCCACAGCTTTCTTTGGAATTACCTTTTGATTAGTACTTTTCCAGTAAAAGCTAAGCAGATGGACAGTTTGATTTCTAGGTTCAAGATGGGGTACACTTATCCAATTAAGAATCAATCTTTATTTAGTACACTTGTATAGTCTAGACACAATTATTACTGCCCAACTTACATGTAACACAAAAGTATGCAAAAGAAACTGGCAAACTAGACTGAAAACACCTTCTTAAAAAATGGTAATTTTTGTGAAGGAATATTTTCTGATATAAAATTTGTAAATCAGAAACTTCCTGCCCTGCCACAACTGTATTCTCAATCTAGTTGCTGCCCACAGGTTAGTCTCTAGTAATCCTTTATACACTTCCAGAGAAGGACCTAAGGCAATTTATAAAGCAGCAGTGAAAATACTTGTCCTTGTAAAACAAGAAATAGCCTAGTAAATGGAGGCTACTCAAGTAATTTAGCTATTGTTATGAAACATAAGCAAGAACTAAAATTAATCCAAGAAAGCAATTCAAATTATAAAACTGCCTCAAAACCTGCACACATTCATAAAAAAAAAATCATCTTCTTGAAGTAATCATAAAAATGGGCCAGAATCACTGGAAAAATTTATCAAGGGAAGAGCTGTGTATGCTTAGGCATAATCTAATGGCTTTTGCCAGAAAGGAACTGTGCTTGGGTTTGCATAATTTATGTGAATTTTGTATCATTTCATGCATGTTGATTTGCTTATCTTATTGTTAAAAAGGAGAGCAGGTAAAATTTTGGATCCACTGTATGCTCAATATATTAAGCCATAAATGTTGTTGCCCTGAAAGGTTATTACATTCAAATTTAGATTAAAATAAGGAGAAATAAATACTGGTGATTCAAAATAAAGGACTAAATTTAAAATGAGTTTTAAATTTTAATTAAAACCAAGTTAATAATCCAAATGTGATCTGAAAACACAAAGAAGAAACTTGCTTTCCTTTTCCTATGAACAAGATCAGGTATGGTAAGATCTGCCACTTCTAAAAGTTTTAAGGACATGGTGACCCCAAGTAAAGAGTTTTATAAGCTACAGATACTTGGCAAATCAGCAGTTCCAAAATTATAATATATTTTAATGCATTTCCTTTCATAATGTGTCTAAAATATGTCACATAGTTTCTGAAATTAAAAAAAAAGTCCACAATGCTATTTGATACATTCCACTGACATTTCCATTTCCATTTCCATTCAAATAGAGCTTGACATAAATCATGAGCAAACACAGTCATTAGGGAAATGTATAGATGTTAAAGAATACGATGAATTTATACAGAGCTGTACTAGTTTAAGTAAGTGTGTTCAGATCACAGTATTCTCATGTTTATCCATTAGCCTTTTATAATTAAAAATCTAAATGTAAAACAAGGTTACAATCAGTTATTCCAATCAAGGTTTCCTGAGTTTGTAAGTAAACCATGATTAAAATCAGTGATTTAAATGACAGTGTTTGAAATCAATCCACAATTATGTCTGCAGTATGTCTTTATTCTATGGTAAATAATAAAAAAAGGGGTACAGGGCTCCATAAGCCCCTTCTGTCAAGTCCCCCTCAATCCTCAACGAAATCTCCAGTACCTAAACATAGGTATGCAGGCTTGAATGCCACAGAGATATGTGAGTGTTTCTGTATCTTTAGCAGATTAGCCAGGAATTATGGAATGAGAAAATCTTTGTATTATAGCACACAAAAAATACTAAACCCTTAAGGTTCAAACTTATACATAGGATTTAAAAAAAATTACATTTTAAAAATGCATGTTCACCAACGTTGTTGAGCCCATCCAAGTTCCCTGGGGTATTCACTGAGGTTTATGGATGTTGTGTGTGTGTGCATCCCCTAAGGCAAAACTGGGCTCAGTGTCTTACACACAAAGCTCATCCACATCCGTGGCCAGTACTTGTACAATATCTATATACTAGGTAGCTTTGACGTGCAGTGTGAAATTGCAGAGTATTTTCTAAGGATGAGCTCAAAATCACGTGTTGTATATTGCTCAGTACCCTTTAAAGCCAAAAATCACTACAAGCAGATTGCTTACGAGGAGCCAGTCAACTCTTCCCCTTCACTTTTTAAGTCTTCCTTATGGAACTGAAGGAGTTTTCAGACAGCTCAGGAAGAAAGGATAAAGAACAAAATAATGACAACTGAGTCAAATATAGCTAAACAGTTACAAATCCTAGCTGTAGACTTTTCACAGAACTATGATTAAAAGGAATTTTGCTTCCATTTTATCCACTCAGCTTATTTCTAATGGAGAAATTTGTGATGCCTATAAATCAGCTCAGACATTATTATTGAATACTGGCAACAATCACATTATGTCTCCAGCTAATGAAAGGACAGTTATGTCCCAAATATGAAATCGCATTATGAATTAGAAAGTCTTTAAAGGAGGACTGCAATGTAAATTTGCTTCGTCTCCATTCTGATGCTTTATTGGCTCAAAACCAACCTCAGTTTGTCCTCACTTTCTGAGCAGTGAGGCAAAAGATGATTCCCATTTTTTCCTGCCCACCAGTTCTTTGACAGGTAAGCTGTCAGCTCTGCTTTACATCAGCACTACCAGAATCCCTGTTGGAAGTTTCAGATGTTTACTGGGAGCTTTACTGAAAGCATCTTATTTGAAGAGATAAGGGCACTGAATAATTAACAAAGATATCTTTCTCCCACAAGTTCATTAAGCCTTAAGCTTATTACTTATACCACAATAGAGCTGAGATCCCCAGTTGCGAGCCAGGATCCAGCTCTGCTCGACGCTGTACTGATAGGCATGAAAGCATTTGTCTGGGAGAACTTTAATTCTTTGAACCAGAACATAATGTGCAAACGAGACAAGGGCAAACATACAACACAGGATTGTGAAACCTCCACTTGGACACTGGTGGCCGGGGAGCAGCTGCACCGAAGATTATGTATGCACATGGAACTCTGGCCATTTGGGAAACTCTGGTCCACATCCTGGCTGGACTGTAATGCTCTGAACTCACAGGAGAGACTGTTACAAAGAAATAGGAGTTGGAAGATGTTCCCTGTGCTTCTTTTCAAACCTTATCATCACTGGATATCTCCCCATAGATAGGATGCAAGTATCTATTTCTCAGAAGAGGAATTTGGAAGTCTCCACCTTCACTTTAAAAGATGAGTTTTTCAAATGAAAACTCCTTCTAGTTGATTGTAACGCTTCAGTTTCTTTTGGACAGGGAGGTTGTTCCTATCCATCTAGAAAGCCCACTTTGCACATGAAATGCAATTTTCTTAATTAGTCCACCCACATCACTAAAATTATTCAAGCTTTCAGCAAAAAGGTAATCAGAAATAACTAAAGCTTCCTTACTAGCACTCAGACAGGCAATCAACAGAGAAAGGGCTCAACCTCAGGTAGAGAAATAACACATCACTCTTATTACTGAAGTGTTTTAGTGTGGAAATAGTGAAGTGGAATGCCTAGGGGAAAAAAAAAATCTCTGTTTGAGGAAGAGGGGAGTGCATTAAACTGTGTTCAAAGACACGTAGTCTCTTCAGAATTTCAAAGATGACCCCTGAGCTAAAGGACTGCTGGTTCGAGTTCCACCAGCACAGACTGCTGGCACCACCTCAGCACGAGTGTGGGAGATCTCTCTGTGGCTGCTCTGCTCCCAGCTGTACTTTTCTCAACACCTCTTGTGCATTCAAGAAGTGCTCTGCAGTTCCTCGCCAATTACACTTCCCAAACTATTGGTAATTCAAATACAATTTCCACATCATGCCTTTGTCTCAGAAGGATTCTCTGGGTGCCTGAAGTACCTCATATATTTCTAAGTTGGTTTTTAAGTCTTGTGAGGCTTTTTCAGGTTCCTAAATTCTTTCTTAACTGACTAAGCCTGTGCATTTTCAGCTCCAGATCTACAGTTATAGTGAAAAGTATCACTTCACAGAGGGATGATAACAAAAGAAGTCTCTCATTTCCCATTTTGCTAAGTGTCTGATTACATGTTCTCAGGCAAATCAGATAACCTGAGATTCGCTTGACTCATCCACTGAGCACAAACATTATCCAAATTTATCTTTACATTGCACTTTATAATCCTAGGATCTCAAAGCCAAGTGCCCCATACAAAATACATGGCATCTCTTGGAGGGAAACCAGCACAAGTGGAAAACTACCTAGTGTCACAAGGAAATCTGTAGCCACTTTGAATTACAAAACTATACTGGGTAAATCATTAGAGAGTAAAGTGGTGAGTACAACCCAGCAGTCAGAGAATCAGAAATCACCAACAATTAAAAAAATTAACTACCAGAGGCATAGATTAAAATCAGTAATTTACAAATTATCTTTTAAAAGCATTAAAACCCAACAGCACACCAAGCTAATTTCCCTCTAAAGCCTTCTTCATTCTCTTGCTTTCCCCTTAACTTGCTTTTTCTCTTTTTTTATAACGGCTTCTTGAGGTTCTCATCACACTATCACTGTGGTATCAGTCTACTGGAAGCATAATCCTGGTGATACTCCTTTTAAGGGATAAGTTAATTAAACTGAAATGTTACACAGTAGAAGAATAATTTCCTCTAACTTTGTCCTCTTTTGAATACTTAAACCTGTGCAATTGTACATGAAAAAAATGGAATCTATCAGCTCTAAAACCTTAGATTTCATCAGCTAGATACTCTTTCAGTGCCCATAAAAGAAAAATCAACCCTTTGAAAAAAATCTAGTCTTTGGGGAAAAAGTCTTTTGTTCACACTGAAACGTGGAAGTGTCTCTTCCCACCTGTAGTGTCAGATACTTTAAGTGAAGAAAAAAAAATGAAAAGAGAAAAAAAAGGTTCCCAGCGATAGTTTGCATTTTGAAAGGTGAAGGGAAAAAATACCCAAAGATTGCATTAAGTTAGTTTCACCCAAATGCTGCTGAGCCTGGGAAAGTGAGGGACTTCAGAAAGAAGGTGGCATACTTACTGCTTGAGGCTGACAGTTCTTTTGGACTGGAGGACATTGGCTGAGCACACATCTGACAGAGACAGTCCCTTCCATTAAAGGTAACTCGGTCGCCTGGTGGAAATGGACGCCTGGAGAGACACGGAGAAAAATGCATTTTAGCCAAGGCTGTGCCAGAAATTTCCCTCTGTTCCCTAAGCTTCATCTGCTGCTCGTTTCTGCAATGTGGCCTTGGCAAAGCCAACCACTGGAAGAAATCCAATCTGTGGATGCATGCAGAGCAGAGGTCAGACTTGCCTTGTATTTTGGTTTTAAAAAGTTATCAAACATACTTTATCTAAAGATTGGACGACAGTGAAATCTGCTTAGACACAACAGCTGCATTTATGATGGTCTCAGCATGATGTTGTGGATAGAAGAAAATGGTCCAGAAGAGAACTCAAAGGAAAAATCGGAATCGGTCTGGAGGCTAGTGAAGGAATGTGGAGCTAAGTGACTCATAAATACATTAATTTCATCCTTATTCAGCAATTAAATATATTACTATGTTACAGTGGATGTAGCAATTTGGAAAAAAAAAAAATAATTTTCCACATTCTTCTCCTAGAGATTGAAAATAGGTATCTCCATTACAGAACCAGCACTGCAATCTCTCCCTGTGCAGATGCTGTCAGGGCAAAGGTAAAGGCTGAAGGCGCTACAGAGGTTTGAGATTATTTGCTGAACCAAACAAAATGTTAAGAATGTGTGTTTGGCAGAAGTTGACATCACCATCACTCTTATTTGGTGTATAAAAGAGAGGGTGAGCTACATTTTCTATGAGTATTTCACCAAAACGAGAAGGTTCAGGAACTCCAAATCTTCAGTAAGTCCCTTCAGCTGCTGAATACAGACACCTCTACACCACACCTCACTCCAAACCTGTGCCTAGCAAATGAACATCTGCTGGTTTCCACCAAACAAAACGTTTAAGGCATTGTTCTAGTTTCCTTTCCACTGCCATTCCTAAGTGGACCATAAATAAATCACCATTTCACCAGTCTATTCCAGTGATTCATCTTCTCTTCATTCAAGATAAAATGATTAATGTAAATCAATATACAGAAAATAGATGACATATTTATTTGATGACATATTTATTCATATTATGATGGCATAAGGGAAAGAAAAATGGAACATACATATCATATGATTACCAACATGCAGTAAAGTCTCACTATTTAAAATCCACAAGAAAAAAGAAAAAAATCCTTTCAATAGAAAAGATCTGAAAAATGTACCAGGCTATAGTACAAAGTAATTAAGGTACTCATCAGAGATATCTATGATAGCTAAGATTAGGGTAGGACCTGCCAAGTCTGCCACACCAATACTCAAATGCATTATATGATGGGATCTCCAACAAGGTACTATCTCAGAATGTAGCTTCTTGTCCTTATTTATGTCATCCTCCTGCATTAAGTTTCAGGCAATTTGACTGTCAGGTAATTCAGGCTGTTAGATACTGACTTCTGGAGACCACCAGTGTCCCTCCAAGACTACGAAGAAAGAGGCCCTGTCTTTTAGGTCTTCCCTCTCTATGAAATCTACCTTCATCTCTATCTGATGAACACATTCTCACAGGAAGTGAAAATGAGTCTCCAGTACGTTTTCACCTGTTTAACTGTTCTTATAGATCAAATGGCTTCTTTATCGTAGCATCCTGAATTTTGCTTTACCTCATTTCTCCCATCATCTGAACTCCACTCATGTCCCAACATTATCCCAACATCCATGCCTGATCATTCATTCAGACATGAGAGCAGCTTTCTGAGCACAAGGAACTGTATGTAAGAGGGAAGCTATATCCCCCACATAAATGACTAGTATTTTGAAGACCCTCAAAGCCAGTCTTGCAGCAGATCTTTTCCAATCAAATGCTTCCTGAAGAGAAACATGTTTTGAGACTTGTGTCTCATGGTGATACCTTTCTCCCTGTCTTCCTTGTACTGGGTCCATGCCATGTTAGTTGAAAGGGATGACTTACTTGCAAACAGTACAGGCAAAGCAGCTTGGATGGTAAGTTTTTCCCAGAGCTGTCACCACTTCGCCTTCCACGAACTCCCCGCAGCCGTTGCAGCGGGTACCGTACATGCGCTGGTAATCCAAGGTGCAAAGATATTCTCCATTCTTAATGAAGAAGCCTCCTTGTGCCAGGTCACAGCCACACACTGGAAGACAAAAAAAAATCACACACATAGGTTGGAAAAATATACCTACTAAGGATGTCAGCAAGAGTCTGTGCTGCCAACAAATGTGATGACCCTGATGGTCTTGCTGCCTTCTAATAGATTTTTTGCCTTCTCCCCCTGTCACTACATGCCTTGACATCCCAGAAGATGGTTGTTATTCTCTGGCTATAAGAGTGCTTGCCAGAGAAATTTCCTCAGAGGGAATCTACACAATCATAAGTTTCCTGTACTTGGTCCTTGCCAAGACCTCAGTTACCTCACACCATCCAGTTAATCGTGCTATCAGAGTTATTTCCATTAATGCCATCTTGCTTTCTCTTCTGAGACTGGAGGTGAGCAGCACAAATTACATGACTCCATAAATATGACAGACTTTATTATTTTATACACTAACACACATTCTTCCTGTAACTATGGGCTTTAAGAAGCTTTCAAGGTACTGATTCTTTCTGAAGCAATGATTATTTTAGAAATGTTGTATGATTTTGATTAACTCCTCCAGCCACCAGATAACACTGAGCTGCTTCACCATTGCTGAAATAATACTTTTCATTTTTGCTTTAAAGTACAATTTTTGAAATGTTCTGGGTGATTTTGCAGTATTAATTTAGACAAATACTGGGAGAAAGCTGCAGTGAAGACACAGTCAAGCATGAAAAATCTAGTCACATCTCCACTATATACACATCCTGATATATGCAGCCAAACTACACACCAGTATATTGGTCACTGAACAAAGCCAATAGGAAGAGTATTCCCCCCCTGCATTCTGAGCAAATTAATGTCTTAAGAACTACTATTATCTTCTTGTGCCCGATCTGCATTGATCTGGTGTTAGTCTTTTATATACTACACTACCTGTACTTCATGAATTAGATAAACTACTCTAACATTTGAATATAAACTTGTGGCCATGTGCAACTTTATGGGGAAAAAGAATGGTATCAGTAAAAGGGTGAAGGACCAGTCAAGGATTTCTGTGACTCGGCAGGTTTTCCACTGCTAAATGCTTCCTCACCCAAACCAAAACACATCCCAACCAGAAGCCTGTTTTGCTTTAAGAATATATTCATAGTGCTACATCAGCATTTCTAGTCAACACAGGAGACAGAAAGAAATCCAACCTGTAACACCCAATTCCTATGAAGAGAACAAGCCACGGGAGATGGGAGACTGAATCTCACACTTTGGCTTTAGCTTGGGACGGACAAAGGACTTGAGCCTACCTATTTAACATCCATCAGTAGCACAAAAAATACTGCTTGCTTCATGTGAGCTTTAAACAGTCTCCTTTATTCACTTCAGTGAGAAAGCATAAATAGGAGCTGCTAGCTGATTTCTAAAACAAATACATACATTGCTGCTGCCAGGCACTTTGGTTTCAGCCACTCCTACTGCTCCTCTCTATATTGCTGTGCCTGTGTAATTCAGTAAGAGGAACTACCCTTCGTAACACTCAAGTACATTCAGATCAAATATCTGAAATATAAAATATCAGAAATTCTGATTATTAAGGAAAAATAAATGAGCAGCATTCTAGGTCCCTGCAATTACAGAGACCTTGAAAAACTAATATATGAAATACAGAACGATTATCAAGGAAATTCAGTTCTATTAATCTCTCTGCCACAACTTTCAAGCATGATATTGTGCACAGCATTTGTTGTTCCCCATCCACCCCCCACACCCCCCCCCGCCCCACCTCCCCTTATACTTATTAACTACCTGCCTTGAAAATTAAAATTGCAAAGTGTTTGGGGCAGGGATTGCAAATTCCCTGTTTGCCTGTCGCCAAGCCCTGGAGGTCTAATGACTGTTACTTTAACAATAATTAACAGAATAACAACAAAGAGAATGCCCAAAAATTAAAATTAAAGCAGTATCAGCACTAGCATTCTTCTAGTTTCACATTTCTGCAGAGAACAGTGTTAATATTCCATGTGGAAAGAAATTACATTTCATAGTGGCATTAAATCCACAAGTAGCCAAAACTCAGTTATCAGTGCCTTAGGAGAATTACAGAGAGCTGTTAAGGCTCTATTGTAACGCTGCAAAATGCTCCAAGGTAGTTTTCAGGTGTGCCTCCAGAGAAAACTCTCCTTCATTCTTCAGTTTTCTTCTACTCATCTCCATTTTGTTTAAAATATTATTTTCAAGCTAATGGTACATCATGTAACCATTAGGTGGAAAATACTGTGACCTCCACATGACATCACCTTAGACTCTTCCTGAGTTGGGGAGCATCTAGTAATTTTCTGTTTAGGTTTCCAGAGGCAAAACCTAAGCCTACTTACAATAGGTTTGCTTTTCTAAGTTACCTGTGGTGGATCCTTACAATTAAATCATGTAGCACCTACAAAACCTACTTTAATAGCTAAAGTTGTTAGGGTTTACTTCAGTATTCAGACTGTGGCTACAGTGTGCTAACTGGAGTGGTCAATACTCAATGCCTCAGAAGCTACTAAATTTCATAAAGAGATATAGAGTACTCATGTCTATGGGATTGTTTAAATTACAGTTTGTAATTTAGCTTGTAGCTTTAACATCCCAGTTTATATATATATCCCAGCTTCAAGTTGAGAGCACTCAGCATGCTGCTGGACCTGCCTCAGAAGCCGCATAGATGAACTCTGGCTCCTTACTATGGTCCCCTCTTCTATCTGTGAGTTTTCTTTTGAAAAACTCATTTAGTCATTATGGGCCTCTTTACCTGCCTAGGCAATGGGTCTAATAAGGCAGGATGATCAAAAGAATCTTTCAATGCAGTCTCTGTTCCGGCTTCTTCTGAAAATCCAGCCTCAACATATGGTATGCAGGTCTGTGGCAGATCATTGCTTGAAAAAAAAACCAAATTCAACAAAAGTTGAATGAAAGGATTCAAGCACAATTATTCAGCTCTATCCCTTTTGCATGCCCACAGGGACTCAAGCTTAGCAACAAAAAATGAGGGATAAAATTGTTTGGCAAATCTTTCAGAGACAGTAATGGCTATTATTAAAACGAAGCTCCCTCTACTGCCCTCTTCTTTATGAAGTCTCCTTTCCTCCCTATCTCTTATTCTTTTTGTCAATAACTCTGAATGAGTTAAATTCTCCCATACTGGCAAGTCATAAAATCAGGCACAAGAAGAACTGCTTATGATGTGAACCACCAGCAGAATCCTCATCTTGGGCATACTCACAGCAGGAAGCACACATCAAATTGCAAGAATTAAAGACAAGTCCTGGCAACCCCACATCACAATGGATTTTTGCAGTCAATTTAGCACATGTGTTGCTATCACTAATCACAGCTTTAAGCTACGTGGACGAAACAAGGGTCACCCACACTGTTAACATCCGTGGCTGGAAAAACGCTGCTCCAGCTGGCTGCTTTCACTCTGAGTCAGAGATCAGATCAGAAATTATGAACATGACTGTACCCACATTTGGTGTACAATGTGGTGTACAAACAAGGGAAAGATTTTAACAGCTTATTTCCTTTCACAGTTGCAAAAAGGACGAAGTCATGGTTCTGACAACAAATCCCTTCAAGCTTAAACGTACTGCCTTAGCACACATACTTAGACCACTGCAGAAATACCACCAAAATGATGGACAAATTATGACTGTTTTGATCCAAAGGAAAGATCATCTGCCCAGCATGGTTTATGTCACAAACAGTAGAGGTAATGAAGGGAAACCAGCTGTGACCAACACATACAACAAATACCAATAGTATAATCTAATCAATTGCTGTGATACAAATATCTTTTCAAAGATATATTAACACCAAAAGGATGGCACTTCATAGGGAACACCAAATTATATTCTTTTGGTTTTTTCCTATACCAATGGAAAAAAAAATGAAAGAATTACTTTGTGGCATCAATAACGATGCACAAATCAGGTTGAAAAGTCAAAAACCAAGAGGTATCCTATAAACATCCATGAGATGGAGATAGTTCTATAGGAGAATAACATTTTTCCAAGATCCCTCCTGCTCTATACAATGGAAGCAATTCCATTTCACATGAGTAGAACCTCTTTTCTGAGACAGGAGACACTGTGAAGCGTTTCTATTCCCTGAGGTACCACAAGCACAGTGCCAAAACTTTCTTTAAATGAAAAATGAAAATTATTATCTTCATCAGCTCCTGGAGGAACTCGGTCTTTCTCTCAGAGTCTGTATATTACAGAATTTCATATTCCAAGCAGACAATCCTGCCTCTCTTGTTGAAAGGGATACAGATCTGCCTCCTACTGTATGGGTAACACTAACCTGAAAGCTTTTTCTCTCCTGCAGTACTGTGCAGGTACTACTTTGCATCCTTGGAGCACAAAAAGATTAGAGATACTGTCAGTGCTGTCAAGCTCTCAAAGCTACAGGGTCTGTGTATGCAAGCCTGGGCTATCATGACAAAACACAGCCACTCAAGAGCAATCCAAGTGCCTGTGATCTCCAAGGGACCAGGACTGTTCTCAAGCTGAGTCACCTCCAAGCTTTAATAGACATAATGAAAATGAAGAGATCAGATTTTTTCAAAGTGAATGGAAGTATCATTTGATCCTACTGAGCATTATGTAGGATTTCCATAGGGTTATTGTCAGTGTGAGTTGAAAAACCAGGCCCTTAGTAAAGTAACTCCATGCTGATCTTAAGTAAAAATTGTTTTAACACTGAAGAAATAAAACCACACAAGCAGGCTCTGTGAGCATGGGTCTCGGTTGACAGAAGTGAATACTGTTCATTAAGAAAAGCCTAATGATCTACTTTGTCACCATTCATTAAACAAGGTGCAAATTCAATTTCCTGTTGGGGCTTTATTTCTCTCTTGTATTTCTAAGCTTCATAGAATAATGGTGCTGTTCTCAAGCAGGGAAATAGTCATACAACATTTCTTAGGAGATAATGGATTTCTTGTTTGAAGTTAGAAAGGAATTTGGCAATGTTTCAGTTTATCATCTGCATCTAAACAAACACACAGGAAAAATCTCTGG